TTGAAAATTACTTTTTACCTCAATTCGGTGATTCAAGTGGGACAAAAGTAGTGATTCCAAGGATGGATGAACTCTGAAGTTTTGAAAAGATTCCCCAAGAGGTATTTTGGGTTACTCTTGCTGATATACGCATAGTCTACTTGTGTTTGTTAGATTTCATGCCAGTTGAGACATGGTGTGGTGTTGGGTTTGTGATCCCATTTTCCCCCAGTTAATTCTTGGTTCATATTTTCTCCAAGTTGTTATATGGTGTTGGTTTGGGTGGTTTGATACCTCTATCTCATGTTCCCCAGTTAAGTATTGATACGGATCTCTCTAGAAGAGTGTAATTCCCCTTCCCCAGCAGGGTTATGATCGAGCGGAGATTGTAAAGTTATGAAGCCTTCACTTATTTGTTAGAGCCATTCTCTCTTTATGTTGAGAATTCATGTAGAATCTCATGCAGAGCATTATGCTCTCCAGTTATGACATTGTTGTTGTTGTCTGCTCCCCGAGTAGCCAGACAAAAAGAAGTATCGTTCTCTAAGAAGTGTTGAAACAACTGGCAATTTTTTGGGTTTTCTCTCGCCAAGTGTATATTTTGATTTAAAATCCCCATAATTTTGACTTCTTGCTGTGATGTTAACTTGTTAATTCCTCAGATGAAGCGAAGATGATACTTCCATCTAAAAGTTTTTATTCCAGTGAATTTTTGTAATTTCTCCCCAGAGAATTTTGCGCAACCATTACTCTTGATATTCAAGAATGTAGTTGGACTCCCCTCGGCGTGCGTGGTTTCATCTTCCCTGGTGAAGTCAGTACGGTATCCTCAGTTGAAGTCTAGACGATGTCTCATTTCCTTCCCTAGCGAAGTCTGTATGATATTCCCTGGTGAAGCCTGGAAGAGTTTATTATATCCTTGCAAATGTATTGGTTTATTGCTATCATATTTTGCTTTGATTATTTTTTCAAGCCATGTTTTCTTCCCAACAAAGTTAAGATGTGAAGTAGAGCTTTGTTTCCTTAGTTGGTGCTCACTCTCTTATGGAATCTTCATCCTGGATGTGATTTAGTCGAGTGTTGTCCTTATCCAAGTTGGTTTTGTCTGGTTATCAGCATATACATGATAACATTCATACACTCATACATACGTCATGCATAGCTGGATTAAAATTCATTGCTCATTTGCATTCATTAATGTTTTTGTTGGCATATAGTTCTTTTCAGAGTTATGTTATCCTCTCTCCAATAAAGTGTCAACCTTTCATTTTCCCCACTGAGTTATCCCTCGTGGAAGAATTTTTCTTTAGCCTTCCTACCCATCTCATTATCCCAATTTCAGTTTATTCCTCATTGGGTGATGTCTTAGTTGACTGTTTCACTCCGGTTTACCTCGGGTTTAAATTTTGGTCCCCGACAACTATGTTGTTTTGATCTCTCTAGGTTGTGATCCCTGGATTGAGAACGTGTATTTATTTTGCACGAGAATACTTTATCCCCCCCAGTAGGAGTGTGTTTGTATTTCCCCACAAAATCAGAGAATCATTTTCCAGCAATGTTATCACAACAATAAGTGGTAGTCTCTTTATTTGAGCAATTTGTACTTCCTCAGTAAGTATTTTAATGCCATAGAAGATGTTTTTACTCTGATGAATGGTAGTCCCTACATTATGGGATATGTTTTGTTGTTGAGGTTGGCTTTACTTCGATGACAAAGACAATTTGTTGAGGAATCTTTACAGCAGTTCTTACCCTTTTCAAGTGATATCTTTATCAAAGAAAAGGTTGAGACCCGTTCTAGGTGGAATGCCAGAATTTTGGGAAATTTGTTATTGCTCTAGATTTTTTTTCTACCTTCACCCCTGAGTTGGTAGTTCACCATTATTCGGTAGTCGGCATTTATCTCTTTCTCCTTATTGGACTTTACCCCAATAGAGTTGAGATGTTTCCATCCATAAGTGTTGATGTGAACCTTTATTCCCATCCATAAGTGATGATATTAAATCTTTGTTCCCAACTATAAGTCTTGAAGTCAACCCTTTGTTCTCAACCATAAGTGTTGATGTCAATCCTTTGTTCCCAGCCATAAGTGTTGATGTCAACCTTTGTTCTCAGCCATAAGTGCTGGTGTTAAAACTTTTGTTCCCAGCCATGAGTGCTGATGTCAAATCTTTGTTCCCAGCCATAAGTGATGATGTCAATTTTTGTTCCTAGACATAAGTGCTTATGTCAACCCTTTGTTCGTAACCATAAGTGTTGATGCCAATCCTTTGTTCCCAGTCATAAGGGTTGATCTCAAACTTTGTTTCTAGCCATAAGTGCTGATGTCAATCTTTGTTCCCATCCATAAGTGTTGATGTCAACCTTTAATCCCAACCATAAGTGACGATGTCAACCTTTGTTCCCATCCATAAGTGTTGATGTCAAATCTTTATTCCCAACCATAAGTGTTAATGTCAACCTTTGTTCCCATCCATAAGCATTGATGTCAAACATTTATTTCTAGTCATAAGTACTGATGTCAATCATTTGTTACCTGTCTTGATGTTGATGTTTTCCTTCATATTTGAGCCGATGTTATCTTATTGTTTCTATTCGCGTCCTTCGGTTTGGTAGTTTATGATCCCCTGTGAGTCGATGTTACTCTCTTTTTGTTATCTCCTCTATGAGTTGGTAGTTCACAGTTATCTATCAATCATTATTATCCATTTTCTTTTTCCTCATTTATTGAGTTGATGATACTTTGTCTCCTATTTGGGCTTTACCCCAGTAGAGTTAAGTTTTCTTTTCCCCAGCGGATTTGATTTTCCTCCAATGGAGTTGAGTTTATTTCCTCCAGTTGAGCCGATAATCCTTTCTTAATAGTTACCTCCTTGATAGTTTGTTGCTTGCATTGTTAAGAGTTACTGTTGTTGAAATCTTACTATGCATTTGGATTCTTTGATTGTGGTTTTGGCTTTACCTGTTTATAGTCATCCCTAGAGTCCTATTGTTCCCCGACGATTTATTTTCCTGGTCGAACTCTCTTTTTAGTCCGTTGGTTTTTATTTTCTGCTTCTCTAGTGGTGTTTTGTGTCACCTATAGAGTTGGTCGTTTGCATTCATAATCATAAGCATTGCATGGCATCTTAGGGCCAAAAATAGAGTTTTGTTTTGTATTTAGGTATCTTCAATCGCGTTGAGATGAAGATTTTAACCTTCGCTGTTATACCCCAATTTCCCCCCTAAGATCTCTCATCATCTTATTTTATCTATACATCAAGATCACCCACTAGGGTTGGTTCTCTCTCTTTCTACTTCTTCCTATCTTTAAGTTTGCTCTTGAGGGATCACCAATCACCTTGAATTGTGTATCTTGTACATGTGTTTTAATATGGATTAACTTTTAACTAACATCAAAATATGTAAATATGTCTCTTTAAATGTTCATATTGTAGGTGATGACACAATTGCATTCATCTCACCATCTAACCTAGGGTTTGAGGGTTGGCCCTCAGTCAAGTGGTTCTTCAATGGATTGCAAGAGATTAAGTTTCAAGGCCATGTCTATCATATCAAATATTTGTCGTTCAAAGAGTTCTCTCACTTTATTTAGGTTAAACTTTCCTCAAAGTTGATGGTGGAATTCATCAAGAAGATTCATAGGTTCATGTGTTTATTTCCATACCTTCTTCAAAAAGTTTTATTGAGACTTAAGCTCCATATTTGAGTGTGCTTCAATAAAACATCATATTAAGGCCTATTATGGCTCATCGTGCTTTATTTTTCCAAGAAAGTTCAAAAAGATTCAAGGTTGATTTAACAGGTTTGACCTAATTGAGCAAGTGCTTGATTCAATGATCACAAGTGAATAACTCTCTCAATTTTCAACATTTTAAGTAGGTTCTTTTTGTTACGAGTTCTTATCATCATCTACAACAACTTGTCTTCACATGACAAGATCCAATTGTGCAAGAAAAATCATAAAAAGTTGAAAGGGGTTTCAAGTCATTTTGACACTCTCTGAGTTAGGGTTTGTTAACTTCCAAGGACCATATCTTGCTCATCTTTTAATATTTTTTATTGACTCCAAAGCCATGATTCTCTTAAAAGGGTCCTTAACAAGTTCTTTTCAGGTATTTAGGGCTAATTTTAAATGGAAGATCATTAATGGTTGAGAAAGATTACAAGTCTCTTTGAAAAGCCATTGAATCTTAGGGTTTGACTTCAAATGATCATAACTTGGTCAATTTTTAACTCCTTGAGCCCATTCTTATCATCATCTACAACAACTTGTCTTCACATGACAAGATCCAATTGTGCAAGAAAAATCATAAAAAGTTGAAAGGGGTTTCAAGTCATTTTGACACTCTCTGAGTTAGGGTTTGTTAACTTCCAAGGACCATATCTTGCTCATCTTTTAATATTTTTTATTGACTCCAAAGCCATGATTCTCTTAAAAGGGTCCTTAACAAGTTCTTTTCAGGTATTTAGGGCTAATTTTAAATGGAAGATCATTAATGGTTGAGAAAGATTACAAGTCTCTTTGAAAAGCCATTGAATCTTAGGGTTTGACTTCAAATGATCATAACTTGGTCAATTTTTAACTCCTTGAGCCCATTCTTTTTTCCACAATAATCTTTGGAATGTCTACTATAACTTTGTTTCATTGTACAAGACTTGAAAATGCTTGGAAAGTTGTTGAAGAATTGAAAAGATTACAGGTCTTTTGTGAATTTTTCCAAATTTGTTCATCATCTTCCAAAGATCATAACTCTTTCAATTTTTATGATTTTTGAGTGATCTCAATTCCACAATTCAATTCAAGAGGTTTACTTCATATCATCTACAAATATCAAGACCAAATTTTGAGTGGAAGATCGTGTTATTTTGAAGAACATTATAGGTCATTTTGAAATCTCATACTTAAAAATATTTCTAATTACAAAAATCAGTTTGTTTTTCACGATTTCAATTGAGCATGATTTTTAGCTCAATTATCCAAATGGAGTGTTTCACGTTTTTTTACACCGGTAATATTGTAGATCCAACTCATTCTTTCACGTTTTTTTACACTGGTATAATACTACTATCATCACCAAACTCACACAATTACTACCACCACCCATTAACAAACTTTTTTCCTTTTCACAAACTAAAATGCACACCATTCAAATTGAAACCAAACCTGTAATATTTCAAACCACAAGCCTCACAGTAGCAGCATATTTACAAATTAAAAAACAAGTTTCATCCTTTATCAATTCCAATTCCAAACAACTAATAACAATTTTCATGCAAGCCAAATAACAAACTCATCACTCTAACGTCATAGTACAAAAAAAACTTGCAAGATTTTCTTTTCTTTTCAGATACAGTTCCAAAGTATAAGGAAGAAGTGGAAGGACACGCAAGCTCACCCTTCGTTGATTTCGCACGACCCGCAGATCCAACGACATAGCTCTGGCGCCGCCGCTTACGCAACACTCGCTGGAACCCAGCCGTCAACCAACCTCCATCACCATTCGTGCGCAGAAACCTCCAACTCGCCGAAGTTGCACCGACATCCACCACGAGTCTACTAACTCCGATGATGCTTCCGCGAACAGCAAGATTTCTAACACTCAGCCGCGTCACTACTCACCATCGTGAAACAACCCAAGGGCCACCTTAAATCACCATGGGTATGCACCTCCGTCTCTGTTGCTTTGCCACGTTGTTCGGTTGATTATGATGAAATCCGGAGTTGGATTATTAAGGGATTCTCGAAATTGAAGAGAGAAGATGTTGTTTATTTCTTCCAATTTGTCTGTGTTGATGAGTGTTACAAGAAGAAGAGGAATAGAAAGCAGAGAGAGAGGAGCACTGATGAACAAGGAGGAAGAGGTAAATGTGTCTTTTGGCTTTTCATTCAATCTAGTCTTTCTGATACTTTTGCTTTATTTTTTTGTGATTTTTTCTATTTAGCTTATTAGTTATTTGTTTAATGGGGTTTGTATGCTAATCGGGTTGGTCCTCACTTTACTACTGCATCCTTTTCTCTTAGGTATGCACCCTCTGTTTAAGCAATTATTTGAATTAGTGATTTAGAATTTGATTTAGTTTTAGCTACTTATCTAAATTATTATTAAGAAATAACACAATAACACAATAAAATTATGTACACTAATCAAACTCTTCCTAAAATCAAATTAATTTCAATATTTTAATAATATAATGGATGCACTTCTTCGAATAGTCGATTGGTCGGTTTAATGCTTACTAATTAATTATTCAAATAAAATACGTTTAAAATTTATCAAACAAATTAAAACTCTATTCTTAAACCTTAAACCTAAACCCTAGTATCATTGTGAACAAGGTAGATGAAGAGTGCCTAACATCTTTCCTTCGTCTAAAAAGAGTCAAAAACTTAGAATCTATGTATCGACTTTAGGGTTATTTCGTTATATTCTCGTCTTAGGATAAAAATTAGTGGCGATGACTCTTATTTTTTTTCCGGTTATTACAATATCATCAAACACATGATTTGTGTATTAACTCTCTCTCTCTCTCTCTCTCTCTCTCTCTCTCTCTCTTTAAAATTTATTTTTCACTTTCTCTCACTAGTTCTTATAGTCAAATGCTTTTGTGAGGAAAGTTCCTTTTGTGAGTGAGATATTCGTTATAATTCTAGAGGTATAGCATTGTATAAATTCTCCAATGATTATTGTTTATACACCTTGGATGAATATCGTCCATTTGGGGATTATACATGTGGTTCGAAGCTAAACCCATTAAAAGCTTATGGTTGAGGATTGTGTGATCAGTTCCTACTATTTCGTATATATAGGTTGAAGATCATCTAGCTTTTAGGATCTTACCATTGATTCTTGGTTATCTCGGTTAAAACTATGAGTAATTTTGAGATCATCTCGGTTAAAATCTATAGAGGTTTTTTGGTTATCTTATTAACCAATTGAGCTCATATGTATATTTAGAACTTGAAGACTAACCACTACAAGGTCCATGTTCATGGAGAGAAGACTAACCGCTTCAATCTACAGTTGGAAAAGAAACTTAGCCACTTTAATCTCAATAATTTATTGGAAAAGACGCAAACTCCCATATTTTATGTCTTGTACTATTATGGTTATAGGACAACCACTATTTCCTTATATAAGGGGGTTCGTGAGCCTTTCATACTAAAAACTCTCAAGATCAAATCTTGGGGACATGACTAAGTCGTTTTTGATTGAACCTATATAAATTTTGGTGTTACTCTTCTTCCCTGCACTCTTTAATTTCTGCACTTTATTTTATTATTTACTTTTCGATGCTTAGACTTAGAAAATATTTTTCAATCTCTGATTAAATTGTCAAAAAAATTTCAAAATCCATGTTTCAAGTCAAACAAGTGGTATCAGAGTCTAACTCTTGTTTAAAGTCTAATCGTCTTAGGAGGAAGATGACTTCCAATACAAGATCGTTTCTAAACACACCACCTTTTTGAAAACAACAATCTTCCACCTTTTAAAAATTTAATTTAAAACTTTTTCTTTGAAAACAATAGTTAATGGTACGGTACCCTACTCATCAAAATTATGATTAGTAGTGGAAAACTCCTTTTTGACCAAAGAAGAAAAGAAAGATTGATATAGATCTTTAAAACCAAAAGCTTTATGAAATCATTTTTTGAATGATATGAACTCCCCACTGCTCTTCATTATTAAACCACTGAGGAAATGCGGGAGCTCTAGAAAGGAAATATGAAGTTTCTTCAAAATATCCGACAAGAGAAAATTAACACACGAGGTGAAAAATAAAATACATATTAGCCTTAAGTGTTTTCTAGATCGAGTCATATAGAATTATTTTCCAACACACATCTAAGAATTACGATTTGAAAAACCAATCCAACTCTTAAACCTATAGATGAAAGCTTTCATAAATTTTAGGGAAGAAGGAAATTATAAAGAAGATGAACAAGCTGAATCAAAGATGAAAAAATCCAAACAGAAGAATCATCGTCCTCATCTTTCTCCAGAAGACAATACTCATGATCAAACGAAAGATCCTCTTGTTCAAAGAACAACAAAGAAGATGAAGAAGTTTTTTCAATAATAGAACAAAGAAGAGGAAATAAACATCAACCTTGCGGAGAATCATGAAAATATATTCGTCAAACAAAGAAGAAGAAATATGCACAAAGGCACCCAACAAGAAAGATGAGATATTGGTATCAGAAAAACATAAATCTAAGAAAAGGGAAGTTTCCAACACTTACTATATTATGTACACCAAAGGAAAAACCATATTTGTATATTTTGCAGGATTGCTTTATCGCTTAGAGACAAAGTGGTTATTTAAAAGATATACAAAGAATAATTATATTCTAGAATTATACAAATTCCATTTGAAGTCTTTGATCCCACGAATGAAGAAAGATGAAATATGTCAACCATTAGGATCAACGCAAAATGTTGGAGAAAAATATCAAGATCAAATAATCAGAAATGCTCAGTTGAATGAAAAGTATATAATGGACTTATTCATTCTGTTGTTTACCAACTCTCACATCCAACGATTTAATGAGAAGGATACACCGTAATCTGCACATCCCACATAAGGAATATTTATCAAAAGTTATTTCTTGAGAAAGGTAAAATTATTTTAAGATAAGAATAATCAACTAAATCTGATTAACCCCTTAAAATAAATATTCTTACTTTGTTTATAATTTAAATAAATTATTTATTTTTTCATCTCTAACCCATAAAATAAGTTTGTTTAAGTATTTTAAGAAAAAAAATCAAGAATTGAGGGTGCAAACAAAGAGAAATAGGGGTACATAAAGATGGAGAACCAAATAGAAGGCCTAGGTAGCGAAAATAGGCTGAAAAAGGAAAAACTAATCGATTAACATATTATGTTAACCGATTGGATAAGATACCAAAATATAATTTTAGAACAAATCAAAGACTATCTTAGGCGTCAAGCAATAAGAATCTCAGTAATAATGAAGATCTCCTCCAAAACAGAAAGACTGAAAAATCTAATCGATTAAAAGGGAGCTTAATTGATTGACAGGATCAGAAAAAGCAAGTTTTTATTTGATTTTTGGATAGCATAATTTGCTCATCAAATCCTCTCGATCCACACGCTCAAAAAGCTTAGAAATTATCGTTATAAATAGGTATTGTATTCTTCCTTTAACTTGCATCCCATACTTTTTCTTCTCTCTACACATTAGTTAGACTACTCTCAAAATTTACCATGAACCCTAAAAAGTTAAACTTCACCTCCAACTATGTCATTGATGAATTCAAAACTAAACAACGAGAGATAAGATATTTTTCAAAATTTGAAAATCGATTTGTCATGAGAATTGATACTTTATCTCCATAAAAATTCAAAGAGCGCAAATTCTTCAAAAACGTTGAAACACTCAACCTCACCAATTCCGTGTGCATACCCTCTGAAACGGTTTACACCACTCTTGTGAATGTTTTTTCAAATATTCGTATAATGAATGGAATACTTCAAAGTGAGGTAAGAAAGCATATAATAAACCTTACTGTAAAATATTTTGGAAAGTTACTAAGCTTTCTCAATGAAGACAGACTTCCTGAACTTGGGGACAAAGCAAACTGATACAATTATGTCTTAGCCATCCTCCCTTATGAGAAACCCTTCTTCCCATATTCCTTATCCATTCACAGATAAATACATTCTCCCTGAAAGTAGGATAACCCATTACGTGATAACCCACATCATCTTCCATAGTCAAAAAACTTTGCTCTCTTCACCCAAACAGAAGTAGAAACCATTTGGCTAATAGAAAACAAAGTCAAAATCAAATGGAATCAACAAGTAATCAATTACATGTTTAAGATCAGATTAAAAGGAACCATCTTCCTTATGATTACATAATCAATATATGTTGGAGATCAGATCAAACGGAACATATCTTCCTTATGGTCACCTAATCAAAAAAATCCTGAAAGAACCAGATATAACTTTGAACAAGAAGAATATCATAAAGGATCAACACAAACAGGAACCTCGGTCTTACCCTTAATGCAATTTCAAACTGAAAGAAGGAAAAATAAATGAAAAGACACCTACAAACAAAGGAAAGAGAAAAGTTTCTAGACTAGAAACACCAATAGAGATCGATAGCTCAAATGACTTATCTCACATACTCATAAGTATTGACCATCTAAGAATCCTTGGAAAAAAGATGGTGTCATCAATGACAAAATAGTCTTTATAGTAAAACCCTTCATACCTAACTCAAACCAACTTCTACCTCATTTGTTCCATTATAGTGATCTTGAAGAAGAGTAGTCCCACTTAAACTAGAACATATCATGCAATTTTATTTTTAAACTTTCTACGGTATTTCCTTTTGCAATTCAAAAATAATTATTTCTTTTCTTGTATTTTTAAAAATTCAATAATCTGAATTTGATGAATGTTGCTAAATATCATTAAGCTTTACTTGCTTGATCTATGCTTATAGAAAAAATATATATCATTCTTATCCAAAAAAATTATCCTTACACGACTCCTTTTTTGAAACTTCCTAAAATAAGTATGAGTAATAAATAATTATCCTTAGTATGTTTTTTCCTTCATGACTTGAGTACCTATATTTAGCTCAAAAATGTTTATCTCTTACATAATCCTTGTTTTGCACAATAAATGTGTTTTGTGAAATAAATAATTCTCACAAAATTAATTAAGTATATGATGCATGATGCCTTGTTACATATCTCTTGTGGCGTCTCTTATTAAAAGAATAGTCTTCATTGTCAAAAATATGGTGTTTTACTTCCCTGTATAAACTAATGTTTGGAATATTTTAATAGGTGTTATGATGTTGTTATGATATTCCAAAAATACCCATACTTGTTTATCAAATGATCAAATAAGCAAATTCCTACATATGCTTAAGTATAATTTGACACTATATTTACATACCC